ATTTAAATTCAAGCTAGTTAAAATTAACTAAAATTCAGTTCCTCAGGCACACTAGCTACATGACAGGTACTCAGGAGCCACAGTGCACATATAGAATATCTCCATCAGCACAGAAGGTTCTGTTGGACAGTGCAATCATAGACATTTTTATCTGGCTTTTAAAGCAACATTAGAAGGACATCGTTGATGTTGTAACGGATGCATAAATCTAAACTAGATCTTTTCATTAGATTCAAAATACATAAACTGTCAGTACTCTTGAAACCCAACTTTAAAGGCTTATTCAATGCTCCAGTGTTTCAGTGGAGAAACTCAAGGCATATCTCCTTAAATTCAAACCTAACTGGGACTTACCCAGAATTTCCCCATGAGAAGAAAAGCAAACAAAACCAAGTATTTGATACTTAACACCAACGCTTAATCCCCTATAACCTGTGCAGTTAAAGTTTAGTCTTTTATTTTGACCCTTGAAGTTCTTGCTGATTTTAGATTTAATTATCCCTACCCCCACCGGTGTGTTGACAGCATCTTTCCTGTATTGCGAATAGCTAATGACCATTTTTCTCTGTTGCAGGTGAATGCACAATATTTGCAGCTGTTCGTGATTTAATGGCTAATCTTACACTGCCCCCTGGTGGGCGTCCATAGACACTATTGTTTTTAAACCAGGAAGGCTGACAAATGAGACAAAACAGCAAAAAAAAAAAAAAAAAAAAAAAAACCCTCATAAAAACTGCCAATTCAAGAACTGAAATTCTAGAAGTACCTAAACCTTTTCTTTAAATTTTCAAAAGAAACACAAAAAAAAAAAAAAAAATCTGAATTTAGCCTTCAGTTTAAAAAAGGACTTTTTGACTTTAAGAGCTAAATATTCTAAACTGGCAAAAATTTTCAGGGTGCACTTCTTTCATCAAAAAGACCATCAGTCTTTTTTGTATAGTGAACTTGTATAGTGTGTTTAAACGGGACACATTTCAAACTAGGAAAACATTGGTGTCCGCTTGCCAGTAATAGATTTAATATTGTTTTATACTATAAAGTTATGGAAATGCCAAACTTGTTTATTTAATTGTTTTCTTATGTTTTGGGTGTAATAGTCCTTTTTTTGGTTTTTGTTTTGTTTTTTAAGGCAGGTCTGTCATTTTTGAATACTGTAAAACTGTGATAAACTTTATATTGAAGCTGTATTTTAATATGCCCGCTTTGAATCCTTACATGAAAATGTTCTGGGAGTTGTTATAAACACATCCCAAAGAAGCAATATTTAATAAAACTAGGTTTAAAAAAAAAAACAAAAACAAAAAACAGTGACACTCACTTGTGTGTATATCAGCTCTATAGACTTCTCCTGGCCTCCCTTCATCTTTCACCTGGTGGGGCCAATAATTAATTTCTAATGATACATGTCTGAAATTTGGCCAAAAACATCTTCTTTGTTTCAAGTTTAATTTATTTTCTTCGAACATTCCTAACTTGACTGGTGGTGAATGTTTAGCACCATAGTTGTCTTTTAGTGTAGGATTTGGGTAAAAAAGAAGGTGAACCCGTCTTTGAGAAGAGACAATGAGTAGTTCATATTGTTCAAGGATCCCAAATACTGCAATCATTCTCATCTGTTGAAGATATGGAAACTTTTCTGTTAGGCAAATTTAGTTTACAGGATACTTCTGCATACAGCATGAATTAGGAAACCTAGAACTTGAGTGTTCCACCCTTGCATGAAATTTCTGTGACATTTCTTTATCTTGCTTAACTTCTCCCCCCTTGCCTTCCCCACCACACTTGGGGTTGTTCTAAACAATCCCACCTTAATTCATTGTCAACAAAACGGTAAAATGTTTTGCTTGGAAGAAACCTGGTTACAGTGCCCTCACTTTGAAGAATCCAAGATCCAGTGCCCGTCCAGGGTCAAGTGGAGTTTCTGGTAACTGACACATCTCAGCAGAGTTTCTTTCTGGAGCACCGTGCTGTCTCTCCCAGTGAGTCAGGGACTTTTTTAAGCTTCAGAGAATGTGATCAGAAGCAAAGGTCTTCTGGTGACCTAATGTTATTTGGGAAAGTTTTTTATATGATAATACTGTACTGAGTTATCTGGTCACTGGAATATTGGCTCTCCAGTAAACTGTAGACACTCTAAGTCCACTTTAAGGTGATTTGAGCTTCTGTTAACTATCAACTACCAAATTCTAATTTCAAGCATCTCACTGCAGCTATGCTATGTCATATCTATTCTCAACTTCGCTTGATTCTCCATTCACTTCTGGTCAGAGTCGAGGCCTTCTTTGCCTTTCTTTGGTGTCTTATTTCTACTGTTATCCCCTGCTTCTCGCCCAGCTCTACCGCTGTTCAGGAGCAGGTGACTGGACTTTATCCTTCCTTTAACTTACCTTTATCCTTCGGTTTTCGTTCTCCTTACAATGGGAATCACATCAGTTTGGCAATCTAACATGTCTTTATATCAAGGGTCAGCCCTTTTCTGTCGGGAGCTGAGTCCTTTCTTTCATGTAGAAATCTACATGTATATACAAGAAATGTATTTTTATCTGCAGGATAATACTGTCTCAAATTTTATGAAAAGAGTAAACTTTTTGGGTATTCTCCTTTTTAAGTGTGGTTTTGAAACGTTAATTGTATTTTTTAAAACACGATGCATTCAGTGGTTACTTTTTTCCTGATTATAACTTATCTCTGAATGCCTCGTGCAAATCAAAATAGGATTCAGTGAGCAGAATTTGCTTTCGATGCTTAAGAATAAACCCATGAATATGAATTTTGATATGTTTGGTACTTGGAATTGGTATATACTTTATTAAAGCTTGAAAACACTAGCATTCAAATCTTAGGTTTCAGCATAAACCATGTCTTTTGCCTCTTTTGTTACCCAGGTTCAATCAAAGGGACTGGATGCCCATAGTGATTTTTTTTCTGATAGGTGGTTGGGGTCTTTTAAGGTGTTTTCAATGTGATTTTAGTAATTTTGGTAATAAAATTTATACAAGTTTCAGAGAACTACCAACTCTCTCTAGTTAATTTGCATGGAGATGTTTTGGATAGTAGTCTGGTTTAGCATTAGTTTGATCTCGAAAGAAGAAATTGGTCCTGATTTGCCAACTTCTTTTTTTCATTTGCTGAAATGCCATTTCAGAATGTATAGAAGTACTTTCAGAATTAGAGAGGAAGAAACCGAAAAATTCAACAGAACATATCAAGTTATTAATAGCAGGGGCTGAACCTTATGTTTGAAAGTTAACTCTGAGCTAATGCAAGCAGAAACTAAAATATACATGATTTGAATTTAAATACCACTAATAACTGTGTTGCAGTTAATACAATAACTCATTCAGCCACAGGATACTAACCGTTTGTTAGTCATTTGGACCATTATTAATTCGGTAACTTCAAAAAGTAAAATTTTGCTACTCTAAATTCAGAATCCAATTTCTACATTAAAAAAAGTTCCTTTCTTTCATGATTTTTCCCACAAAGAACTACCCATTATATTTTACTTTAATATTTATTATCCAAGTTCTTGGTATAAAATCAATATACAGAAAATTGTAAGAGAACTTATCAGGAAACTTAAGGGACAGAAAGGAAAACTCTTAATGTATATTTCATTATTTCTTGGGGAAGTTCCTTTTTCATTTGGTTTGATGGGAGTGGACAGTATGTCTAAGGAAATTGAAATTTACTTAGGGTGGATTTAGTATTGAGGTTATTAAGAAAAAAGCAGCAGAGGTCAGCCAGCATGCTGCTGCACAACCCCAGGAGACTTCCAAGTGGCCAGTGATTTGTCCAGATACCTTGCCCAGGAATATGACTGATTGGTGGAAGGGCACGTTTAGATCAATGTAAAAATAATAGCTAATATTTACTGAGAGCTTACTATTGCCAGGCACTGTCCTAAGTATTTCAGTGTGTATTTAATCCTCACAACAACTCAGTGGGGTAGGTATTATTATCCTCCTCTTACAGATGAGTAAACTGAGGCCCAGAGAAATGAAGTATTTTGCTGATACCAAAATTAAGTTTGCTTAAGATCAAACAGTTAAAAAGGGGCTTTTTAAATTCAGAGCTAGAGCTCCTACACACTTGTGCCACTTTGCTCTTAACTACGAAGTCAGGGAAAAGTTTTTAGACTCTCCCCCCAGAGCCCTTTGACTACACACAATTTTAACACTCTTCCAAGCTCAAGAAGCTCACTAAAACGCAACTAAAACTGAGAGGACCTCTTGTCATACGGAGTTGACAGTCCATTGCCTTCTGATCCTCATGGCACTTAACTTGGAAGTTAACTAAGACTGCCTTATGTAAGAAGCACTAATTATAACCGAGAGTATTAAATAATCGTCTAAGCTGGATTCTTCAGGACCATAGTGGAAGAAGCCCTTATCCGGCTCCGGGCGGTGCAGCCCTCCACAGAATCCAGGGGATGCGTCGTCCTGTTTGCTTCTGCTAGATGGCCCAATGGCGGATGTTTTTGAGCTTTGTGTCACCTTGGCACTGCAGACGCATGGTAGATGCGTGCTGCAGGTAGCCAGCGGTCACACTGCACTAATGCCCTTACTTGCTACAGCCAATCTGTTGGGCTTAGGGACAAAATAAACTTTATAGAATTGTATAATGCAAGGAACATAATGTAATTCAAAAAGTGCGTTGAGCATCTTCTGTATTTTTACAGTAAAAGAGCACAAACATCAGGAGAGGGAGTCCAATCGGGGACTGGCAGGGTCTCAGTTTGGGGGAAGAGACAAGAGGGCGTTAAGAGTTTCAGGTACAAGCTCTCTGGGCAAGCACGGGATAAAGGAATTACACATCTGCTGTCACCTAACACGGGTGGGGCAGGCGTACCCTTGAAGCCAGGAGGCTCCGCCCCGGAATCCAGGGCCCTGCGCGGAGAGCTCTGGCCCCGCCCTTCGCCCTGCACGTAGGGGCGGGCTCCGGGCGGGGCCGGCGGCACCGTCCAGGCGCCCGCGCCTGCGCACTGCCTCTCGCCCGACCCTCGACCGTGGTTCCGTACCCTCCCGGGCCCGAGCGGGACATGGTCCTGTCAGAACTGGCCGCGCGCCTCAACTGCGCAGAGTACAAGAACTGGGTGAAGGCGGGCCACTGCCTGCTGCTGCTGCGCGGCTGCCTGCAGGGCTTCGTCGCCCGCGAGGTGCTCGCCTTCCACCGCGGCCTGCTCGCCGCCGCCCCCAGCCTGGGCCCCCGCGCCGCCTGCCGCAGCGGCTCTCGGTGTAACCCGCGCGCCCGCCAGGTGAGCCCCTGGCCCCCGCGTCCCCCGTCCCGGTCCCCGAGCGTAGGGTCCCGAGCCCTTCCTGGGGCGGGGCGGACCGCAACGCCCCGGGCTCACTTGCCCAAGACGCCGCGCCTCCCTCCCGGGCCCCTTCTCACCCCCGCCCCCTGTAGTTTCAGCCTCAGTGTCAGGTTTGCGCAGAGTGGAAACGGGAGATTTTGAAACACCACACCAACAGGAATGGAGACGTCCACTGGGGAAACTGCCAGCCGGGCCGCTGGCCCGTCGACGCCTGGGAGGTGGCCAAGGTAAGCACCTGCTCAGGAGGGTAGGAGGTGACCCACCAGGTAGCCAGTCACATGGAGCCCAGGGCCCCATAAACAGATGCAAAGATAGAAAGAGAGGAATGGGTGTTTGATCTAGGGTCTAGTGTCCAGGCGGTTCAGAGCTGCTGTCTGGATCCGATCTAGCTTAGCGAAGTAGAAGCTTGCTTCTACCTTTCTTCTAACAAGGCATTTAAGTTTGCTATCCCTGCTTGGACAGCTGTAGCAAAGATTTCAACAAGAGACGCTGACCCAAGATGTAGAGCGAGCATCGTGAGCACAGACCCAGAGGGAGAAACACATAAGGCGTTTTTGAGTGTAGGCTCCCTGAGTAGCTCATTTTAGCTGTAGGGTGCCATCAGGATGGCAGAGGAAGCCAAGGGAAGTTAGGGCTAAAACAGAAAGGACTTTAAGTGGCCAGGTAAGGAATAAAACTTTGGGGTGGTCAGGTGGAGTGGGCAGCCAGATAGAAGGCTTTTAGATCTTGCCACTCTGACTTGCCAGCTGGGCCATTTGGGGATTTTTTTTTTTTTTAATGTCTTCCAGAAGCCCATTAAGGGGTAGGGCAAGGCAAAGTCACCTCCTAACACACATTAACTTTCGTAGTCCGTCTACATGCTGATTAGCAACAGGCACAGGGTTGGTGCCTTGGAAGCAGGGATCAGAGTCCCAGCTCTGCTGCTGTTTTGTGACCTTAGGCGAGCCTCTGTTCCCTAAACCTCAAAAATGAGGAAGTTGGACTTGATCAGTGGCCACAGACTCGTGGCTATCGTGGACCCATAAACCCACCGCATCTACACCCTCATCCCAGTTTTTGTTGTTGTTGTTGCGACCATAGAATTGCCAACTCTTACTTTTACCTACAAAAGAAAGAAACTTAAAATTCTGCCCTTTACTGTGACTGTCCCTCACCTGTTTGGTCTTCGTTGCTGCTTTCATACCCTTAGAATTCTCTTGAAGCCCACGTCCTCTGCCCATGCGCCTTTTTGCTGCTGTCACCCACAGACCTTCTAGTCCAACCCCGGTGTTTATGTTCTCCAACCACATCCTCCTTTTTCTCCTCCTTTCTCTGAACTTGCACAGCCCAACGGCGGCCCTGATGACACCATCACCTACTTGTGCTCAGGGGACGAATCTCACAAGGGAGCTGACCGGTTTCACTTTTAGTTCTTGATCCTGTGCCCCAGTGGTCTGGCCTTAGCTCTGTAGAGGGCTCCTGTTCCTGGGGACAGCTGTTGCTGTCTTTCCCTCGCCAAGCTCCGATTCCTCCACCCTCACTCCCAGCTGCTGACTGTGCATTTTCCCTGCAGTTGATGCATGCCCCCACATACATGCTTCCTCATCTTTTTACCAGACCTGTGAACCTACCTCCACGTACACCATCTTCGTCCTTCTGCCACAGAGGAGCAAGGGTGTCTCTCTTCTTACCACCTTGGCCCTCTACTTGTAGATCGGACCGTATCCCCTCCCACCTGCCCACAGACTTTCAGGCCTCAGGTATCCACTCTGTCTCCCTCACAGCTTATTCCCATCACCATACAGATAGCTTTAATATCGCCTCGGTTTATTCAGTTTTTTTTTTTTTTAAAAAGACAAGATTAAACACAGGGTTACTATATGACCTAGCAGTTCCACTTCTAGGTTTATACCCAATGAAATGAAAATACACATCTGCACAAGAACCTGTGCTGCATGAGTGTTCATAGCAGCACTATTCATGACAGCCAAAAGGTGCAAACAACATAAATGTCCATCAGCCGATGAATGGATGAGCAAAATGTGGCCTGTCCATACAATGAGATGTCATTTAGCCATGAGAAGGAATGAACTGGGGAGCCTGGGTGGCTCAGTTGGTTGGGCATTTGATTTCGGCTCAGGTGGTGGTCTCAGAGTGCTGGGATCGAGCCCTGCATCGGGCTCTGAGCCCAGCAGGGAGTCTGCCTGGGATTCTCTATCCCTCTCCCTCTGCCCCCCCCCCAAAATAAATAAAAATCTTAAAAAAAAAAAAAAGGAGGGCACTTGGGTGGCTCAGTCGGTGAAGCGGCTGCCTTCGTCTCAGGTCATGATCTCAGGGTCCTGGGATCAAGCCCCCATATCAGGCTCCCTGCTCAGCAGGAGTCTGTTTCTCCCTCTGCCCCTCCCCCTGCTCTCGCTCGCTCGCTCTCAAATAAAATCTTTAAAAAAAAAAAAGGGAATGAAGTACTAACACATGCTAGGACAGGGCGCCTGGGTGGCTCAGATGGTTGAGCGTCTGCCTTCAGCTCAGGTCATGATCCCAGGGTCCTGGGATCGAGTCCTGCATCGGGCTCCCTGCTCCTTGGGAGCCTGCTTCTCCCTCTGCTTCTCTCTGTCTCTCCCTCTGTCTCTCATGAATAAATAAATAAAATATTAAAAAAAAAATACGTGCTAGGACATTGGATGAACCTTGAAAACATTATGCTAAGTGAAAGAAGCCAGTCATATATTATATGATTCCATTTCTATGAAATATCCAGAATGGGCAGATCTATACAGACAGAGATGAGTGGTTGCCAGGGCCTGGGGGTAAGAGGGAGATAATAACTAATGGAGCTAGAGGGCTTCTTTTTGGGATGATGAACATGTTCTAAAATCGACTGGTGATGGTGGCACAACCCTGTGAATATACTCAAAACTACTGAACTGTACATTTTTTTTTATTGAGGTATAACTGACTTATAACATTGTATCAGTTTTAGATGTACATCATAAAGGTTTGATATGAGTATATTTTGAGAAATGTTGCCACATCACTATACATAGTTATAAAAAGGTATTTTTTGTGATGAGAATTTTTAAGATCTGTTTCAGCAGCTTTCAAATATGCAATCCAGTATTATTAACTGTAGTCACCGTGCTGTACATTACATCCCCAGGACTCACTCATTTTGTAACTGGAAGTTTGTACCTTTCGACCCCCTTCACCCATTTTGCCCACCCCCGACCTCTCACAACCACTGATCTGTTCTTAGTATCTATGAGCTTGGGGTTTTGTTTCATTTTGTTTTAGATTCCACAGAGAAGTGAGATCATACAGCATTTGTCTTTCTCTGTTTGACTTGTTTCACTGAACACTGCCCTCAAGATCCATTCGCTTTGTCCCAAAGAACTGTGTGCTTCAGGGGCGCCTGGGTGGCTCCGTCAGTTAAGCGTCTGCCTTCGGCTCAGGTCATAATCCCAGGGTCCTGGGATCGAGTCCCACATGGGGCTCCCTGCTCAGCGGGGAGTCTGCTTCTCCCTCTGCCTCTGCCCCTCCCCCTGCTCATGCGCATGCGCTCTCTCTCAAATCTTAGAAAACTGTATGCTTCAAAGGGGTGAATTGTATGTAGATTATATCTCAATAAAGCCGTTTTAAAAAAAACCCTTGAATAAATATTTGGAAAATAAAATTTGAACAGAAAGAAAAGCTTCCCTTGAGCCATTCCCTCCAGCTCTCTCCCCATTTCTGTATCTGCCTCCCATACCCATACCCAGTGGAGCTTCTCAGGGTTTTATGCCTGCTCTCTCTTCCTCAGCTGCCGGTGACTCTTCAACCCATTCCAGCCTGGCTTCTGCCCCTGCCAGCCCACCGCGTCTGTCGTGTCGGGCATGCGTGACCTTCAGCTCTCCAGCCTCCTCTTCCTTCCTCTCAGGCATTTGGCGTGACTGGCCCCTCTTCTTGAAACGCCCGTGGCTTTGTGACATCATTATCCCCACACGGGCTCCTCCTCCTCAGCCTCCTTCCCGTCCTCGGCCGGCCTTTCTCAGGCCTCTTCTGTCTCCCTCTTCTGCTCTGGCCACACTGCCCCGGCCCGTGGAATTCACTGTTAAATACTACACTCATGCTGATGGCTCCCCAATTTGTCCCTCCAGCCCTGCCCTCTCTTCTGAGCTCCAGGTGCCCCTCTCCAGCTGCGTGCTCCACCCCTTTCCTTATTCCCGCCTGGGCACTTCTGAGTTTATTTCTCAAGCAGGATTCATCATCTCTACTCCCCAAACCCACGGCCGTGCCCCAGCAGCCACAACCTACAACCACCCTCGCTTCATCTTTCCCACTCACCGCCCCCTTGTTTACACCTGCAAACTAGTGGATTCCTTCTCTCTGACTCCTGCCTGGCCTCTGGCGACAGCCTCCCACCCGGCCACCTCTGCTGCTGCTCTGGTTGCCTCTGGTCGCTTCTGGTCGCTTCTGGTCAGTTCTTCACACAGCAGGATGTGTGGTCTTCAAGGGGGAATTAGATGTAGTTTTAAATTAGCTTCCCTTGCATAAAACCCTTGGCTGGCTTCCTGATGTCCTTTTTTAAAAATTTTTTTTCTTAAGATTTTATTTATTTGACAGACACAGAGAGAGAGGGAACACAAGCAGGGGGAGTGGGAGAGGGAGAAGCAGGCTTTCCACAGAGCAGGGAGCCTGATGTGGGGCTCGATCCCAGGACCACCTGAGCCGAAGGCAGGCGCTTAAGGACTGAGCCACCCAAGTGCCCTCTGATGTCCTTAGAATAAACTCCAAACTCCTTTCCAGGGCCAGTAAGGCCCAGCGTGATCCGGCCTCTGTTTGTTTCTGCAACCTCATCTCCTCCTACTCACTGAAGAGACAGGAGAGGGTAATGGGACGCAGTAACACACATTTCCCACCGCTGTGCATTTGACATCTGGAACACAGTGGCACGTGATACCATTTTAAGAAGCTCCTTTTGGTGGCAAGGAGGCAGCAGAGCCTCCCTGTCGGCTTCTAGTTCAGAAGAAAGGGAATAATTGCGAGAATGAAACGTGAATGTGGAAAAAACAGGTCTATATTGGTGAGAAAAGGCCAGGTGCAGGACACACCTTGTCATGGAAAAGAAAAACTATGCCTGGTTTTGAGGCACCTAAGACCCCTCTAACTTTGGGATCATCCTCCCAGCAGGAGCTGAAGTGAATTTTTTTTCCTTCAGTTTTGTTGCACTAGTTTGGCTGTGATACAGGAGTTAACTTCTGTGTTAACATCATAACATCCATGGGCGCCTGGGTGGCTCAATTGGTTGGGCCTCCGACTCTTGATTTTGGCTCAGGTCATGATCTCGGGGTCATGGGATTGAACCCCACGTCGGGCTCTGTGCTCAGTGCTGAGTCTGCTTGGAATTCTCTCTCTCCCTCTCCTTCTGCCCCTCCGCCTGCTGGTGTGCTCTCTCTAAATAAATAAGTAAATAAAATTTTTTTAAAAAATCATAGCATGCATCATAGACTTTCAGAGGCTCAGCATGTCAGTGGCTGTTAAGACATGGAAAGAGTTATGGTACTGGCTACTGTACCTTCTGATATGGGCCATTCATGCATACAAAGTTCTTTTTTTTTTTAAGATTTTATTTATTTGAGAGAGAGTGCACGAGAGAGCACGAGGGGGCGGGGCAGAGGGAGAGGGAGAAGCAGGCTCCCCGCTGAGCAGCAAGCCCGACATGGGACTCGATCTGAGGACCCTGAGATCATGACCTGAGCCGAAGGCAGACGCCCAACCGACTGAGCCACCCAGGCACCCCTCCAAAGTTCTTAATTATGGGAGGCTCCAGCGAAGGATTCCACCACTGTGAGGAACGTAGCCCTGACTCTCCTTGGGGTGTGTGAGCCCTAACCACAGCCCTTTTTGGAATACCATTACAAGCAGCACTGTAGGGAGCATTGCGGTTGCTTGCCTGCTGAGATGTGTTCCTTTTCAAGGGAACAGGTCTCTTTAGAATTCTTACTGCAAGCAATCTTCATATGTCATCTTTTCTAGTCCCTTGGCAGGAATGTACTGGTGAGCTTCTGAGCTTGGTAAAGTTTTTGCATTCAGGTATAAATTTGGGACTGTTTCAGGAAAGAAACATACCCAAGCCTTGCGGTGACACCATTTTGGGTGTCCGTGCGTTAAAATCCTACAAAAGGCAAGATCATGCTAGAACAAGGCCCTTCTGATATATCGAGCATCTCAAACCCTAGGATTCGTCTGTAACTCCTGGGGAGGTCATGCTCGCCTTGCACCATCAACATAATAATTGCCAACATTTACGGCCTGTTGGTTTACCATTTGCCAGGCACCGTGCAAGTGCATCCCCTGCATTAACTCATTTAATTCTCACGATGTCCTTCGAGGCGGATGAGGACACTTATCCCCTACTTACTGATGAGGAATCTGAGGGTAAGTAACTTGCCCAGACTCACACAGTTGGCAAGTGGCAGACCTGGGATTTGAACCCAGCTGTGTCACACTGCAAAGCCCAGGCTCTTTATGCTACCACACGAACTTGCGCAAGTCATCTTTATTTTTTTAAAAAAGATTTTATTTATTGGAACGCCTGGGTGGCTCAGTCGTTAAGCGTCTGCCTTCGGCTCAGGTCATGATCCCAGGGTCCTGGGA